AAAAAATATAGATCTCTAAACACCCTCTTTCGACAAAATTGGTTATCACACTAAAAGCTCCATAAAACAAATAAAATTAAAATATGTATCACTACAAGTAAGATAATTTCTAGTGTTTGCAGTAATGTTGGTTGTCTATTCAATGGGCGATGTACATGCACGCATCACAATGAAACCACATTTTTGTGATGTAATTGTCTAAATATGTAGATACTTTCTATACCGTTTATTTATGCAGACTGCGTTTGTGTTTTTACCATGTTAGGGATGGCACAGAATAACTATAATGATTAAAAAATAAATATAAACTTATAAACAGGTTTTAAAATAGTTATATAAATATGTCAAAATTTGTTTACATCTAATATTGAGTTTCAAAATATAAATCAATTATTTTTGTATGTGTCATCTCTATACATTTTTTTAAAAGAATGTTGATCAACTTCTTAAGAACATGTCACAAAATTTCAAAACAAATATTAAAAGTACATTAATATTATGACACTAATTTAACATAGTTGTAAATAATGTTTAATATGAGATACTTCTGTTCTCTCAAATGTATCTTTTTTAATTATAGAAACAATATTTCATTAATTTTTAAAAGACAAAATTATTTGATACATCTTATTTGACCAATCTTAATTAAAATATATAACATTACATATATATAAAATAGAGAAATGTAAAACAGACTGTTCCAATTATAGAGGTATTAGTGTGACGAGCTCTGTGGGCCGGTTGTATGGCAGCATATTAAAGAAGAGGGTTGAAAGACAGATACAAGATATTGAAGAACCCATTTGGTACCATATTTGGAACCCATTGAAGTAGAGAGACCCATTTGGTATTTATAGACCTTGAGAAAGCATATGATAGTGTCCCGTTAAAGAAAATGTTTGAGGTCCTCGAAAGGCCCGGATTGGATTCGACGTATATCCGAGCGATATATAAATTATACGAAAATGCAGTTAGTTGTTTAAAAATTGGAACCAGAACTTCAAATGAATTTAAAGTCACTAAAGGCCTAAAGCAAGGCCTCCAATTTCTCAAAAATGAGAAATTGGAGATTGAAAATATTTTAGAGAATGGAAATGGAAATATTATTAAGCTTTTTAAAATTAAGTGCATTGTGGATGCAATTTACAGTAGATAGAAATTAATACATCTTGATAGTTTCTTCTGAACACAAAAAATATTATTTATAAGGGTGGACAAACAGAACAGTAACATGATTACTAATAAATAAAGATAAATAACTTTTATACAACGTTTTAAAACTTGTAAGAGGAATATAAGATGTTTTCCTAAATTTTTGCAGAACTACGATGACACCAAAACAACAGAAAGTGGAAAAATCCAGAAAAGTGTATGAAGTGTCTGCGTGTTAAGTCTAAAATTTTCTGGGCAGGAATAAGAAGATACATGTGAACAGAGGCTAAACAAAAATAGAACTGAACATTAAGAACACAGTAAACACAAAACAAAAATATGAAGATATCACAAGTATAGCTCAACGAATATGTAGAGAAAACAGCGCAAGTGGTGGGAAACACAGTCAAGAGGTGATGGAAAATTACATGTTTAACAACTATATCAATCAAGAAGATAAGAGGAATAAAATACATGGGTCGTAAAGCACACCCTAGGAACTAATAAGTGATTAAGTCGAAAATTTCGAAAGATGGGTAGATAAAACACTTGGATGAGTTGTTCAATTCACAGGACACCAATATCAAACACTAAAATAATAATGTGCAGGCGACAGCCCGAGCAACTGTCACCGGAGTGAAAATATTAAAGGATATGAACACTTCAGTAACTTCTTCTTTTTATGAAGACATGACTCGGTCTGTTTTTCAATGTGCCTATAGTAAGTTATCGTTCCATAGTGTTCATGGTCTTCCTACTATTCGTCTTCTTATTTGGGAACCGTCTCTTGCCGTCTTTACTACTCTATTTGTTGTCATTAAGCTTATATGATCGTTCCATTCTACTCTTCTATTTCTTACCTTGCTCTTGATGTTGCTTTTTATCTTCTCTGTGTCAGGTTGTGTTTTTCCGCAAATTATATCAGTATTGGTCTGATGACTGTTTTGTAAATTCTGCCTTTCATTTCTTTCCAGATATTTTTATTTCTCCATATTTTTTCATTCAGGCAATATGGCTCTGTTAGCTCTATTCACTTGATCTTCCACTTCTGTTTCGAGGTTTCCGTAGCTAGATAATGTCGTCTTCTTAAGGTGCCTGTCAGTTCCGAAAGTTGGGGATCATTCTGGCTATGATGAATTTGTTGATGATGATGCTTGTTGCTTTGTTGACTATTACGCTCTCCGGTTAGCAAGCCAGGATATTATTCTTCGCCCTGTGGCCCTTTTTCCTTCAATTTTAGCTTGCAAAATGCATTCGAGTAGATAATGTGATGCCTGGAAATTTAAAATCCATAACTTGTTCTATTATCTGACCTTCCAGTTCCCATTTAGATATTAATAAATTTGTTACTGATATAACCGTGCACTTTTTCTTTTTTTTTTTGGAAATTAAGATGTTAAATTTGCTGGCGGATATATTAAATTGATGTAGCAACTAAATAAAGAAAATATGGAATCAGCAAAAGCTGTTGGAATGGAATGGGTAATATGGCCTTGTTTATATCTGAACTACTACGGAATAGGTGCCTTATGACATTCATATAAGGTTGTGTCACAATTAATAAGAAATACATTGAGCGCATATTAAAATGAAATGATAGAGGAATATCAAGCTCGTTTTAAGAACCGTAGATCCACAATTTACCAGATTTTCGCACTTGAATAGGTAATACAGAATAGTTATGAACAAAGGCTAGAACTTTGTGCTTTTTGTGGATTTTATACAGGTGTATGATTCCATAAACAGGAAAAACTTTTATACAGCCCTGAAAACAGTAGGAATTCCTGCTAAATTAATAAGAAATCACACATTAACAAGAAACAAAGACACAGTCGAGAAGAATGTTTGACCTAAGTAGACAATTAAGACAAGGGAGCTATAGCCTTGTTTAAGTTTGTATTAGAGGCCATCCTCAAGTAAGGCGATATACAGACGAAAGTGTATAAGAAAGTTACAACTTTTGTAGACGACTAGTGATTATCACAAGATCAAAAACTGAACTTGAGATGAAATTTGGCTATAATATACTTTATACAATAAATAATTTGGCTTAATTCATAGACAAAACAAAATGCTTGGAAGCAGGTACGCAAGAAACTGGAGAAGCAATCATTAATCATTCATCATTCTATTCCTTTTGGATCTCTCTTTGAGTTTCGATATTATCTATTTCTTTAGTGTCCAAGTTTCGCAGCCATATGTGATGATTGGTAGTATACACCGATCAAATGGTTTTTTCTTCCGGTGGATTGGCATCTTCGATTTGAATATAACTGCATTTCTACCAAAAAGTGCCCAAGCTAGTTTCATTCTCCTGTTGCTTTCTGGAAGTAAGAAGCCAGATTTATGTATTAATTGTCCCAGGTATACATACTCGTCTACTGTCTCAAGTGTATTACATCTTAAACATCGTTGTACATGGTTCTTTTTTTTTGATAAGTTCACTTTTAGGCCAACTTCATTGCTAGCTGAATTTAGATCGCTTATAAGTTCTTGTAGTTCTGTAGGATTATTAGCGATCAGAACAATGTCGTCTGCAAATCTTAGATGGCTGAGGTATTCTCCATCAATGGATATTCCTTTGTTCTACTAGTTCATTTTGCTGAATATAATTTCTAGAGTTGCTGTGAAGAGCTTTGGTGATATTTCGTCTCCTTGTTGGACGCCTCTGGTAATGAGAAATTCTGGAGTGTTTTCATAAATTTTTACCTTAACTTTTGCTTGTCTGTATATATATATATATATATATATATATATATATATATATATATATATATATATATATGTATGTATGATCCAACATGTATCTTGTAACAAAAATCAAACAATCTTGTATCAAAATTGGCTAACAATGGCATCATATCTACTGGTAAATCAAAATCATTGAGAATTTACAATTCAGTAGCTCCACGATTCTATGCATTGCCAAAAATACATAAACCAACTCTCTCAATGAGACCAATAATCTCTTTAATAGATTCTCCTAACAGAAAATTAGCAAATTTTATAACATTAATTTTAACAATTACATACAATTTCAACAACGACTTAGTAATTAAAAATTCTTTTGTTTTTAGTAATTTCATAACTGATAGAAAAATTCCAGAAACTTACATTTTAGTAAGTTTTGATGTGGTATCTCTATCTACCAACATTCCTTCTTATTTAATTCTAAACAGTATAGAAAAACTATGGAATAAGATCCAATCACATTGTAAATTAAATTTAAATACATTAAAATAAATATTATATTTCGTTTTTGATACCAATAGATGCAAATTTAATAACAGTTATTACAAACAAACATCAGGCATTCCTATGGAAAGCTCATTATCACCAATCATTTGTAATTATGCTCTAGATGATCTCATTAAGGAATGTTTAAAGATAATACCTTTTCATTTGCAATTATGCTCTTGATGATCTCACTGAGGAATGTTTAAAGATAATACCTTTTCATATTCTATTTGTTAAACGTTTTGCGGATGATTTGATTCTAGCAGTACCTAATGACAAAGTAACTTAGGTCTTAAATATTTTTAACAACCCATGTAACCAATTACAATATAAGTAATTTCTATAACTAAAGTTAAAAAAGTCATAAGACAACTACAAATAAATATAGGTGTTATGTTTCTTTAGCAGCATTCATTGGATACTGATTACAGTTCAGGACATACAAAACACGAAATCCTGCAATTAATGACAAATCTAATTTCAGATCTAATCAAAAACTCTAGGTCATTATAAATAAAATTGGCAACAAACAATTAGATTCGACTACATACAATCGAATCGTTATACAGTTAAAGTGAACATACACTGTATTATAATAAATAAGTGCTTACCTTGTAAATTATCCAGCATAAAAGTTAGCAGCTTCACTGTCCCATTTGGTTCACTATAGATGGTAAGAATATCCTTGTTAAGAGGATTCCCACTTAGATTGAGACTCAGGAGATTGAATAACTTGCCAAGCTCATACGGGAGTATTCTTAAAGAGTTATTTGCTAAATTTAACTCCCTAAAAATAAAATAAAACTTTAAATGCAAGGGTTATAATATTTAGGAAGTAATATCTTTAACATATAAGAAAATATATCTGCACTCTACAAATGGGTGTCTGTTCATTTTCCAGACTTTTTCAACTTTCAATAAATTAATAAAAGAAATAAACTCCCTTTTGCATTATACCTCCCTTTATATATCTGCAGGATCTTGTTCTTTAATTAGGAGTTTCCTGTTACTTTTATCATGATTTCTTCAACCTGGCTTGCTAGATTAGATTAACTTTAGAAATTTTTATACCATTTCTAACAGAAGCCTGTCAGGTTGTTCCATTATGTATTATGTAGCTGTTATAGCAGGCAAATGAAGGCCTTCCCTTCTTCTTCTTTGTTGTGGTATGTAATTTAAAGCTTTCTTCGAAATTCTATCTTCATTCATTTGCTTCAAGTGACACTACCACACTAGTTGTCTCGTTTCAATTCTGTCTACACTGCAATATACACTATTTGTCCTCCTTCTAATCTATTCATTCCTGATATGATCTTTTTTGGATACACCACACACTCTCCTTAGAAAATCCATTTCTACTACTTCTATTCTTTTTCTATCCTTTTGCATGATCTGCCAAACTTCTGCCCCATAAGTCATAATAGGCTCTACCAAGTTTCGATAGATTGTCAATTTCGTTTCTTGTCTAATATCTTTAGACCATAGTAGAGAGTTTAGAATTTTTACCGCTTTTTTCTCAGTTCATCGAAAATAAATTGATATTATTTTATCCAGTTTACTGTACAGAAAATGTATGGATGTTAACGTGAGGTTGTGTTGACTGTATTGTTTGATTGGATGCATTCAAAAACAAAATATGATACCCGTGTACACCCACACTATGTTAAATCAACAAACGACCAGACAGCTGTACTACAACTTGCTCATGATATAGTGAAATTTGGGATGCAATGACTGTACTCCCAATTGTGAGATGTAAAACTGTTATGTCCATGTAATACATGGCACAGAGTAAAAGGTATTACCTGGTCTAATGACCCAGAGATCTAGCACACACTGTGGGATTATAGCCTTGGCGAGGTATGGAAGCAATGCCTGTGCCAAGCTTATAGCATGGTGTCAACCCGTGTGAACAAAATGAAGATTCTCCCTAATCGTCCCTATCCATTGCCTTCCTCCCCCAAGCATGTATTCCCAAATTTCTCATTGATGTTATGAGGGAACCTTGTTTTGGATCTTCTTGTTCTCTGACCTATCAATGAGCGTTTTTCTAGCTGGGTCAGTTTGTTCCATCCGCATCATATGCCCCACCCATCCCGTATCTTAATGTATTTAAGTTACACTAGACACTGAATGTGAACACTGTCTCCATAGCAAATATTTCAATGAACTGAAGTTTACTATTAGTAGACCTTTAGTACAGTAAGGCAGTTTCAAAAGATCTTAGTGTTATAATGAAAATATGTTTCAGATCTACTGAAATCCTGAGGACTTTCAATGGAAGACATGTAATTACCTTAAATACGACCAGACGATGTAGAACGAAAACTACTAGAGGGAAAAACAATCTATGCCAAAGAAAATATAATTCAAATTTGGCATGAGAGCACAAGCTAATGAAAGCTAAAGACGGCACAACTTCGGGTATCATTAGCCTACATCGGCATTCATGGCTCCGTCGGGAGTAAATTATCCATTACCTAGCTTTAAGTGGAACTGCTGAAGAGGTCACCAATAAGGGTTGAAAAAGATCCATCGAGCATGCACGAGCGATGTAGCGGGAAATAGATATAAGTACAAAGCACGGCAAGGCTAGCCACAAACATGATTCAGTGTATACACAACCAACAGATCAAACAACCCCCTTATTTACTATCTAGAATATTATTTATTGCTATCAATGAAATGTACTCACCTAAGGTGTATGAGTTCTCCCAATTCCGCGGGTAACGACCGTAACTTATTATTACTCACATCGAGATGTCTTAAATTCACTAAACTACAAATGTCCGGTGGCAGTCTCAATAACTGATTGTTTTTTATGTACAAAGCCGTTAGATGCGTTAATTGGAACAGATTGGAGCTTAGATTTCGAATAGTCCCTGTTATCTCCAATTCTGTCCAGTACGATTTTTTGCCGCTTGCTTGATCTTCCGCAGACATGTAGGTGTGTGTCCGACGATTTGTAGAACCTCCGTTGTTTTCGAATTTGTCCTTTCGTGGCATAATTTAACCTGAAACACGACATTTTTATATTAGTTCAACTAGACTTTTGATTGACAATTCGATATATTGACATATTCTTGTGCTGTACCATAGTTATTATAAATTTAGGTAATTTTATGACAATGGGGATGTAGATTACAAACAGAATAAAAAAATGTAAGTAGAAGTAGAAGAAAAATTTCTAATAATATTTTGAATTTTACTGTATATCAAACTTTCTAAGCAGAATTCATTTTATTGAATTATACTTAACTGAATATAGTGATCTGACGTGCATTAAAAATGGTGTATGTATATATAATTCCAGGTGATCCAATAGATAAAGCAAAGAAAGAAGAATGAATTATTATTATTTGTATTATCGTATATAATATCATAAGAGAGAAAATTTTGCCAGCAATGTTTTCGACTGGTATGAAAGTTTGTTGCCAGGCAATTTTCGCGAATTAAACTTTGACAGTTAAATCACGAGAGGTCAGTCGAGAGAAAATTTCATCAGCGAAAATTGCCAAAAGGCAACAAACTTAAATAAAATCAGAAGAAAATTTTGCCGTTAAATAATTTTCTCTCGATTGATATTTTACAAGACTATTTCACGATACAATTAATGCACCATATCAACGAAACATAATGTTTATTTATTTGTTAACAATATTAAATGTACAATTATTATAAGGTATAGTAGTTTGCCCATAAAATACAGAATTAAGAATGCGAAAGAACAATGCGCAGAAATAGAAGAATACCAGAAAAGATATGATGGTTTTAACACATAAAAAAATTAAAGAATTAACTCACAACAATAGAACAAGAAAATCGGGAATACTGAAAGATGAAAATGGGAAACTTGTGTTGAATACTAACGACAATTTAAAGAGATGGACAGAATACATAAATGAACTGTTCAAAGACAATAGAACAGAACAGATGGAGATAGAAGTAGAAGAGGATATGATTTTAAAGATATTAAAAGAGGAAATTAAAATAGCATTTTTAGGTAGGTCCAGACCAAATTCCTATAGAAATATTAAAATACATGGATGATGAAACCTTAGACATTACAGTAGACTTATTTAACTCAGTATACAAAACAGGGCACATACCAAAACAATGGTTACTCTCCACCTTTTGTGATATCCCTAAAAATACAAACGCTAAATATTGCAGTGAATACAGAACAATATTACGAATAAGTCACATTCTCAAATTATTCTTGAAAGTAATACATGGTTGTATAAATAAAAAACTGGAAGAAAGAATAGATGATAGTCAGTTTGGGTTCAGAAACGGACACCTTCATGACGGATCTGCCATAATTTTGTGGCTAAGAAATCACGGGCAATAAGGAGTAGAAAGTGGCGTTGCTATGACTTTTTATCAGATAAAAATAGTCTAGTGAAATAGTCATTGTTAAGTGTCAACTATTGTATTATTATCTAATACTAAATCAGTGTTTTCATAATCTGCAAATAAATTAGTACTTTTTATTTTTTGTATTAAAACTAGTTTGACACTGCCATGAATTATGTTGGAACATAATTATAAACCATGAGGTTATCCTTCTCGATTCATAAAGTAGTTTAATCTAATCAATTTCTCAATTCAGAAAAGAATAAATAACCAGGAAACATAGTTTTTTAGCCAAATACATAAAAGGTAGATCATGTATCTGTAAGTTGTAATCGTGAATAAAATACAAGTAAAACAAGCCATTATAATAAAACTATAATACTCTGTCTTTAGATCTATCCACAAACTGGTCGTCTTTGAGCTGTACAGATAGGTGTCTAGCATACCGGGACGACATTAACATTAACTTAAAAATTATAGTCCAATAGAGTATAATCGACAACCATCTAGTTATAACAGTAAAATATATGATTCACAGCCAGCTATCTATGAGCCCTAACAACTATATGTTGGAACAAGAATTTATTATGCAAATATAATGCCAATTTACCTAAACTCTTTTGTTTAATTTTTTTTTATTGTAAATATGAAAATAGTAACATTTTTTATGATGTATGGAATTATTTTTGCGGCTTAATTATATATTTTATACTGATTACTATTTATATATTTGTTTGATAATTGAAAACTGCTGACAACTAAATATTGGAACATTTTTCATGCTTTTCTTCACATTTCTTAAATTTTATCAACCTGACGTAAAAAAGGCTTTGAAATCAAACATACAAGTAGGTAGTGCGTTGTCAAGAATAATTGTCATGCGTCATTTGAGTCTGAATAAAGACAACCGTCAGTTGTATTTCAAGTGAAATATAATGATCGAAAGAGGAAACCCTTCTGATCCAAAAATTCAAGAAATTATTATTCATCAGAACTATGAAGGGCAAACATTGCGTGAAATTTCTAATGAATTGACTGTAGCAACAACTACTGTATTTAATATAATTAAGAAATATGGTGAAATACACTATGAGAAGTAACTGCTAGAATGAATAGAGAAACTGGGATAAATGTTTTCAGAGAATCCTGTCGCAAATATATCCACAAAAGCAGTCTTAGTTTTTATAAGGTATGCTTGATAGGTTCTTCTTTGCTATATAAATTTTCTATTTTTCGATTTATTCGAGTAGGCCAAAGAAAAATTATAGCTAACGGAAACTCAAATAAGGAATTGTTACATGTGTTTAGACTTAGTATTTACAAATGTTTGGCATTTACAAGTAACAAAAGCTTCAGATCTGATTTTAAAAAATAGCTCTTATCACATAACACATTAAACATACAATATTATGATAATTTTGTAAACACAGACAACAAAGGTCTCAATAACTATCTTTCAGTAATACCTTTAGGCAAAGTTAGTTGGTTTTAGGCAAATTGTGGGTTACAACCTTTTACCTTTCAACCTTATGTATTTTTTGGAATGGGGGTAATCCCCTATATTAATATTTTTGTTACATTTTCATTGTTATTTATTTTTCACTTTTCAGTGAATTTAAAAAAAAATCAAGCAAGTTCTAATTTGAAATGGAGACTACTAGATAAACAATTAATTATATTGCCCAAATACAACTATTTTTTATATGGTACCTATACATATCTACTAAAATAACTTAAATGATGAAGTATATAATTAATATATGAATGAAAAATATATATCTTCTTAAATGTAAATAAGTCAAAATATTGTTTATATGATCAGGTATTCTTAAAACTGGCTAAAATTAACCAAAACATTTTATTTAGACATTATTACTTATTAGAAAATAAATAAACAAACAATAACCATATGGGTTGTATTTATAAATGTGAAGTAAAAGTAAAAATATATTAATTTGCATATTTTTATATAGTAATTGCTGATGTTTTATCGTCTTTTTACCATAACAACATAAAAACAAAAAAAATTAAACTGCTAACTGTACACAAAGAAAGCTATGATTTGGTAACTGAAAGCCCCTACTTAATGTAATTATGTTAGTGTACGTGCAAAAGAAGTATCAATGCTTTGAAATTGTTAATTTGGCGATTGGTACAATAATTTTGCAAGAGCAGTTCGATTTTGTTGAAAGTTCAAAGAACTCTTCATGACCCTGTAAACAAATGACTACCAAAGCCAGAGGGCATATAAGTAAACTTTGAAAAGTTCGCAAATGTTAGCTTTCGGTATTCCAGATTATTTGGCCTCGCCGAAAATAGATATTTGTATCACATTATGTGAACAAACATCGTGACGTACTGGTTTGGAAAGGTCTTAAAAAAGAAGTCATCAACATTATTGGTTATTATGTTGTATATTATGACACCGAGACTTATTTTAGGAGTGGGTAATATGAGCTACTTTGATTAATGAATTAAAATCCTGCTTACCTTCATCTAATCCTAAATTAATAAATGTAGCAGATATGTACAGTTAATTCGTTTTTCCAATTTTTACACCTTATACACACAACACCGCACTCTCGAAAAGCACACGCAATCCTACCAACTACTATTTTGACAGCTGGTCGTTTTAAAAGTTCCTATTTTTTTAAAAGTACTTTTCATTAAAAAAGTACAAATTTTAAAAAGCTTGTGGAAAATATGTATAAAATAAAGTATTATATTATGTTGCCATAATTATTCATATAAAAAAGACGTTATGTGATGTAAAAAGGTTATATTATTATAAGTCATGGATCCAGCTATTCATTTTTTATCTTTATCCTGGGCTTTATTTTATCCTTGTGGAGCCCTCTCACGAACAATAGATGAACTAATAGTATTACGGTGAAAAAATCCGCAACATTCTTTAATGTAACAAAATCATTTTATCCCAAATAATTTAATATTATGTATCTTCATAAAAAAATTAGTAAGAAAAAATATACTATAGTTTAATAAAAACTATTTTTCTCTACTTTACCCTGATTATTGTACTTTAATTTATTTCTGCTAATTCCAAGGATTATAATTGGCTTGCATTAATTATTATAATATTATTCTATTAATTTCATTAGAAAATTGTCGTTATTTTGTCTTATATATTTTATTTTGTCTTGATATTTATATATTTTTTGTCTCTCGAGTATTTTTTTTATTTAAACATAGAGAACCCACGTCGACCACTAAGGGTTATTAGTGGGGGGACATACACAGTAGTGCAGTTTGATAAATTAAAGTTTATTATAAATGTTTATGTCTTTTTGAAACTTCAATAAATCCGAGATATTTGTCGTAAGCACTTCTCAGGTTTCCACTAATTCCTCGGCATGTTCTCTGAGGTTGGAACTGCGGACAGTCGATTATCAGATGCTTTACGGTGAGTTGAGTAGAGCAGTAGGTACAAATCGGAGCTGGTTCTTTATTTGAACTTTGATGGTATACAAGGCAAATATCGAACACAGTAATTAATTAAATATTGCCCAAGTACTTTCGATCAATAGATCATCCTCAGCGGCATTTCGTCAGTTGTGGCCTATCCGACATGAGCAGAATGTCATACATGTAAATTTGGACATAACAATACAATACACAAAGACAAACAACAC